AATTTGTTTTGAAAAATAATATAAAGGTAATAGAAAGAAACTATATAGAATTAGTTACTATTTCTTAAGAAACAATTTTTAAAGTAGTTAAATCTCTTCAACACTTATATAGGCTAAAGTATATTCTGATAACTTTACATGTGTTTTTGTACTCTATCCAAACACCCTAAAAAGTGAGTGCTGTCATTAGGCACATTTTATAATATGAAAACTCCAAGACATCAAGATTAGGCAACATGGTGAGACTAGGATGTCCACATGACATAGTTTGTCTAAAACAGTCTTAGTTTACCTCCTCTGGTCCAGTTAGGGGTACCCTTTCACTCTGCTAAGTTACACAGTTACACAGTTACTACTAAAGGACCCACCACAAGGCAGAGTGGGCAATGGAGCTTCAGTAAAGCAGCTATTGTGAGGTACTTCTCTTAAGATGCTTTCCACAGAGCAGGGTGGGGTTAGACACGAGGGATTTCAGGGTTTGCTCTTTCCTAACATACCCTCAATTTCCTATGTGGTTAAAATGATTTCAGGGGGTGGTAGCACTCATGAGCCCTACTTCTCAGAGCTGCCCTCTTATCTCTTTGTTAGAGGAGATTGCTCTGTCAGCCTCCACTCAAACCCAGATTTGAAAAGCTTTAAACATATGCACTATGTCAAGATAATATTTAAGTAGCTACTTTCCTAATTTGGAATGCCCTTCATCTTCCTTCAGCCTAGCCTGAAAATCCAGACCAGAGTTATTTGTTACTATCCTTAAGACAAAAGACATACAGCATGTGCTTTTACTTCCTTTCCCTACTGCTTGTATATGTATGTACAATATATTATAATATATTGTATATATTATGTAAAAAAGAAAAGCAATGTATATTTACAACACAGACTAAAACACATTATATATACATATATAATGTATGTATAGAATATATATATTCTGTGATGGGAGATGTCATTCTGTATATGTTTCTCATACTGGTTAATGAATAAAGCACTGTTGGCCAATAGGAAAGTAAGATAGGCGGGACTAGGAGACAAGGAGGAAAGAGGGAGTAGTAAGGAGGAGTCAGGATGGAGAGCCTGGAGAGAACAGAACTGCCATTCCTCCACTCTCGGTAAGACCACGTGGAAATACATAGAAATGGTTTAATAATTAAGACAGAGCTAGCCGATAAGAAACTAGTACCTGGCTAACAGCATTATATCAAATACAGAGTCTCTGTGCATTATTTGGGGCTGGCGTGGCGGCGGGACAAGACCAACGGCGGGATAAGACTGGTGGCGGGCAGAAATACCGTACACCTTACAATTCTGTTTCTTTTTTAAAAAAAGATTTAAAAATTTTTATTTGATGTGTATTAGTGTTTTGCCAGCATGTATGTCTGTGCACTACAGGCATGCAGAGCCTGAGGAGGTGAAAAGAGGGTATCAGATCCTGCAGAAGCAGAGTTACAGATAGCTGTGTAGTGCCATTGGGTGCTGGGAATGAACCTGGATTCCTCTGGAAGCAGTCAGTGCTCTCAATTGCTGAGCCACCTGTCCAGCCCCACCTCTTTTTCTTTTCTTGCCTTTGGTACACTTTCTGTCATTTTAGTAATTCTTAACACCAACTTAATGGCATGAAAACACAAGACATGGTTACAAACTTGGGAGTCTCACTCATCCGTTTAATTTTAAAATAAAATGCAATTGGCCCCAATGAGCAGAGTGGCATGCCTATCAGAGCCTACCATTCTAACAGTCACAGGACACAGGCTTACTAGTGAGAGTTTTAGCCCTTATACTGTGTTAGGCAGTGAGACTTCAACTGCCTTGAGTTTTAGTTTCTCCTTGATACAATGGTATCATCTACATTAACATCTACAAAATGGTGCCCAGCCCTCAACTCTAGATTCTATATTCTTTCTGACAATGAACTGCAGCCTGCAATGAGAAAATATTTCTATAGAACTTCCTAACTGTTACTATTCTAACTGATCCACAGGATAGCTGATTCATCCATGATGGAATCCAACCAGATCTCAAAGGTAAAAGAGTAACTCTTCTCAAAATCAGACTACACTGGGCATACTGCTGCATATCTATAACATTAGTCCCAAAAAGTGATGGCGCTAAGGCAGGAGTTTGAGAACAGCTTGTATTACACATAAGTCCCTGTCACAAAAAAAAAAATCAAACAACCAGGGATGGAGAAGTGGCTCCACCAACAAAGTGCTTGGAGCACAAGTATGAAGAATTGAGTCCAGTCCTTAACACCTATGCAAAAGTACCCACAGCCTGTACACTGAAGTCCTTAACACCTATGCAAAATGGCTACTGCAGCTGGTACACTGAAAGTCCTGTACTAGAAAGGCAGCCTGACGAGGATCCTTGGAATTCTTGTTGCCAGTCAATCTAGCCAATCAGTGAGCTCTAGGTTCATTAACAGACCCCATCTAAAAAAGTAAAGTGGAAAATTTATTAAGAAAGGTGACTAATGTTGGCCTCTGGCCTCCAAATGCACAAGCTCGCGCGCGCACGCACATACACACACACACACACACACACACACACACACACACACACACACACCAACAGATCTAGCCTTTTCATTGAGCAAAAGTTTGTTTCCCCCAGGAAAACAGGGTTTTGACCAGCTCTGTAGCAAAAGATGAGAGCTCTCTTATGTTTCCTTGACACAGAAGCTTGACTCCTGGTAGCTTAGGTCAAGTAAAACACATTCTTCAATGCTTGATTTTGCAGAGGGTCATATTTTTCCTTCAATACTAAAATCAACAAAATGGAAAAGACTGGGAATCATGGCTCTCATGGTTTCCTGTCTCAAATCTTTACCTTGGGCCTTTGAAGGGAGTCTCTTCATGGTCCACAGAGAAGAGCCTTGGGAAAAGAGTGAGTTACCTGGTAGAGCTAAAGATGCATTTATGGTCATCTTTAACAGCAATGGCCTACCTTTTGTATCTCAAAGGAAAAAAACAAAGCAAACACTTCTGAATTCTCAGTTGAGATTGCTCATTATTTCTAACAGACATTGAATTTATGGTTAGGAGCAAAGGAGGAGGTGGCACCAGCTCCAAGGTCTACAGAGTTGCTGATTGGTTTTGCTCATGCACACTTACAAAGCAGGATGGGCTACTTCTACCTATGAATTTATTTTGTGAGGCTTACAGTCACATCTAAGTGAAAACTATCACTGAGATTTCTTGTATTTGAAAGCATAAGATCAATCCAAAGACATCTTAGTGGAGAAATAACCCCTCTTCACAAAAGTTGTGCTCTTAGCTACTCAGACCCTTCATTTCAAAATTTCTAGGGAAGCTGTTATAGTCAGAACAAAAAATATTGAAGCAATTTTAAAAAATTATGTGTTTGACTATGTGTTAAAAACCAATTCATCCAGTATATCTATGGTATCATGCTTTTACTTACCTTTTTCCTGTCAATAGTAAGTTTAGAACATAAAAACAACCAAATTTTTTAAAAAGCCCTAACAGTCACATAACCAATTATGACTAAAATCTGATTAACAGTGGGACTGGGAAGGTGGCTCAGTTGGTAAAGTGCTTGCCATGCACGCACAAAGAACTTGAGTTCAGATCCCTGACACTCATGTAAAAGCTAGACATGAATGTATGCGTTTCTAATCCCAATGTAGGGATCCCTGGATACCTAGCCAGATTAATGAGTTCTCAAAAAAATTAAAAAAAAAAAAAAGGAAAAACAGAAAAAGAAAAGGAAAGAAAGGAGGAAGGAAGGAAGGAAGAAAGAAAGAAAGAAAGAAAGAGAGAGAGAAAGAAAGAAAAGCAATTAAGAAAAACACCCAATATCAACTTCTGGCCTCCATAAGCACATTCACACATGTGCACACGCATCTGCACACACATGAATAAGTGTTCACCCATACCTGCCTCCCCCACAATTCAATACCCCTCCCTAGAGTCTAATTTGTAATAAAAATAGTCAACTATTCTAACAGCAAAAATAGTTCCTTCCCAAGACAAGTAATATTTAAAATATATTTCTAACATTCATGTTTGGTATGAAAATAGAATACACTATATTTTCTATTAAACTCAATGCCAAGAACAGAGTATGGTAAAATAACTAACAATTCCAATGTCAGAGCCTACAGGCTCTGTAAGTTCATCATTTATGGAACGTTACATTAACTCAGCCCACAACTTCCAATTATTTTCTAACAAAATGGCCTTTCTACATAAGAGTGATTATGTTAACACTGGAAAGATAGTGCTTCACAGAAGCTAATGGGAAGTCTTCAGTTCCACCAGGTTGCCCACACACTGTCTTGTTAGCAACTTCTAAAGATCACACATACCTAGTTCTTTGGAGATACTCCTGCCTAGTCTCCTTGTAGTGGGGGCTCAGTTCATGACTGGTTTTGGCTAAGTAGTCTAACTCTGCACATCCTGTTGGCACAGTTCTGACTAAGAATACAGAGGGCAGAAACCCTGCCATCCTACAACACGGCTGTGTCTTGACTTGCCTGCCTTGGAGACTGGAGTTGTCTGCTGTTTCTCAGCACCGGCCTCACTGGCATGATTCCCGACTGATGGAGCGTTCATAAACAGTTATGGCAGGATGTGACAACAAAACCACATTCATGGATATAGGAGGAGGACAAGGAGATAGTAAAATAAGCACAGGATAAGAATAAATCATTTTTCTTTTTTTTTCCAATCAAATCAAGTGTTTATTGAGTTCCTGTTATGTGCTAAAACAAGGAGCCCTGCCCTCGAGGAGCGCACAGTCTACCATGGATGACTTCTATGTACTGCAGTGACCTGGGGCAAGTCACTGCACCTTTCTGCCCAATGGGGTAAAAGGAGGCTGGGTTCAGCAGACACTGAGCGGGTGTACTGCAGATGCGGGCCAAGACACCACCCTGACCCACCACCAGATGGCAGAGAGGGCTGGAGGTGGATTTTTAATAGTCAAGTACAATGAGAAGGGAGAGGAAGGAGCTATACAAGCTGCTGCTGCTGCTGCTACTGCTTGGTGGCGGCCTTGTTGGCCAGGTCCTTGGCCTTCTCTGTAGCTGCCAGCGCTGTCTCCTTTGCTTTTTCTCTGGCCTCTTTGGCTGTCTCAACCAGTATTTTGGAAGGGGCCTTACCTTGTAGCTTGGCCAAGATGTTCTCAAAGCCTTTCATTGTCTTGGTCACGTTGCTTTTGAACCGAGCAAGACCAAACTCCTGGACAGTTCTGGAAATGCCAAATAAGCTAGAGGAGACCCAGGCTTCCCGACGGATTTCGGCCCAGCCGCTGTTGTCAGGGTTCATGCAGTAAACACACCGTTCTTCCACCACCATCAGCCGGGTGTGGTTGATGTTCCAGAAGGCAGCGAACACTTGGTCCCAGAAACTTCGGAGCACGCTCTGGCCCAGGAAATACTTCACCATCATCCTGACCAGGGCAGGCTCAGCACCCACGCAGCATCAGGGTGAAGAGCCCCGGGGGTGGGGGGCACAAGGCTCGGTGCACGCCCGCCAGGCTGGCAGCTTAGTCTCCAAGCGCCTCGCCCAGGTCCCTACTGCCGCCATGAGGGGACTACGGGCAAGAACAAATCTTTAAGACGCCCACTGTGAGGCCAGGCATGTGGTGGACATCTTTAATCCCAGCACTAGTGGTGGGATTAGTGGTCTGCATTAGTGGTCAACTGGTCTACAGAATGAGTTCCAGGACAGCCAGGGCTACACAAAGGAACCCTGTCTCAAACTCTGAAACAGTTAAAAAATAAAAATGAATAAAATTAAAAAGCTTACTGTGATATACAGACAGAATTTTAAAACTAAGCACTTAAAGATCAGCAGGTTAAAACATCAGGGTGTTAGCAACAAATTTAGCCTGATAAAGTTTTTTGCAGTTTTGGGAGGCAGAAGAAAACACTAGGGCAGTAACAGTAGTAATGTCACTAGTGAGTACTCATAATGTGCCAGACCCTGAGAAAGGATATGTTCAGACTGTGTCCTTTGTCTTGACACTCTGATAGTTGGAGATGAAGACCTGGTCAACTCCTTTTCACACATCTCCCCTTCAAAGCTCTCCCCAGTTTCAAGATCATACTGAATTTCACAACTTGTCTAATGCCAAAACAAATGGAAGTGGTATGACTATGTTTGCATTCTTTGTACTACACTAATAGTCTAAATTAGTGCAAAAACATACATTTAAAAAATTTTTTACAAAGTTTGAGTTTCATTACTCTGAGGATCTTCGCAAGAATCTAAAAGCATGGAGAATGAAAAGGAAGCTGTCACCAAATGGAAAGTACTGAGCTTTGAAGAACTACAAGCCTCTTAAAACCAGCATTCTAATTGCAAGGGATATAGGCACTTTTCAGAATAAAGTTTACTTTTCCAACTTATAGAAGTATGTATGTGTTACAGAGTACTAGAACACAGGTAAAAACAGAAATAAGCAAAAAATCATTGGTAACCTTGTACCTGCCACCCAGAGCATCATGTGTGTGTTGTCTTATTTATTTTGGCTCTTACTATTTAAATCACTTTATGTTTTGCTTTCCCCACTTGTATTAAACACTTCTCTTTTCTGAAGTTTATTTATATTAATCTACTTACATTAACCTATTTATTTCCAACAACCATCCTATCTGGTTTACATAATGTTTCCATCATCCTATAGGGAAGGTAACTGTTTTGTTAAAATTACTATTGCTGCAATGAAACACCATATTTGAAAGTAACTTGGGGAAGTGAAGATTTCTTTTTTCTACACTTCCATATCCTTGTTCATTATCTAAGGAAGTCAGGGCAGTAGCCTAAAGACAGAAGCTGATGAAAAGGCCATGGAGGGCTCTGCTACTGGCTTGCTCCTCATGGCTCGTTCAACCTGTTATCTTACAGAACCCAGGACCACCAGCCCAGTACTGGGCCCTCCCCCATGAATCACTAATTTAAAAATGCCCTACAGGCTTGCCTATAGCCCAATTTTCTTAATTGAGATTCCTTCTTCTCATATGAATGTAGCTTGTGTGAAGTTGACATAAAACCTAGTCAGAATAGTAACTGAGGCAGAAAAGGGTTAATGACTTGCTCAAGGTTATAAAGTTTAGTACATAGTGCAGTGGGATTCAGAAACAACATGGCCCAGAATCAATACTCTAAACTGTATGGCACCTGTGGTACTCTATCCTCTTAAATTTACAATATGGACAAGTGGGCTATTATCTAACATTTTAAATCATGTTACAATATATATTTTCATAGACATCTGAGGCACTGCTCTAAGCCAATTCAGAAAGCAAAAACCCTTACCATTCCAGCAAGTTCCATTTACTTTCAGCTGGCCAACAACAGCTGTAGCATCCAAATGACTTGCATTTCATGACCCAACTCACTGCTCCACCTCCCCATGGTATGGCTTTCATGTGGCCCTCACCTGTCCACTCCATTGCCATCTGCAGATTTCAGTAGATTCCAACTACTTTCACACTGCATAAAGAGCAAGCTAACACTCTGAGACTGTTCCCTGTGACCCCCAGTTTTTATGTCTGGAATAGCTTGATGATTAGCTTATTTGTTCCTTATCTTTTAAGCTTGTACTATTACAGAACAAAAAGACGACAGACATCCTGTAAGGTTGGAGGAATTCACAACCAAAAGGGGTGACAGCCTGAGTGAGCAGGTAACAGTGTACTTATTCAGTAGCTTCAAAGTTCCTATCATCCAAGGACCCATTTAAATCAAAACAGAAGGACAAGAAGAAAACAGAAAGACAAAAATAACAAAAAAGTAGACATCAATAAGCTCAACTCATTTTCTAACCACCAGCAGCACCATAGAAAATACATTTTCCAACTAAAAATGAACGATCAAAACATATGAAGAAGATATTTGGGGTTGGATGTAGGTCAATTGTAAAGCCTCAAATGCACAAAGCCCTGCGTTTGATGCCCAGCACCACCACAGCCACACACTCACCCCCAAATCACAGGAGCTGTGTTTTGTTCTGAAAAAAATGTTTATACATTCTAAAAGCATACCTAAATTCTACTTATTGATCAAAAGCTATAATAATTATAAAACTAAATCTCTGAACAAGACACTTTCATAGATGGAAATGTTGAAAGCAACAAAAGAAGCAAAATTTAGAACAGAGCTGGGTGCTGGTCGCACACGCCTTTGATCTCAGCACTCATGAGGCAGAGGCAGGTGGATCGCTGTGAGTTCAAGGCCAGTCTGGTTTACAGAGTGAGTTTCAAGACAGCCATGGATATACAGAGAAACCCTGTCTTGAAAAACTAGAATATATTAAAAACATAAAGAACAACTATTCATAAGATATTCCAACTAACTATAAAATTATAATATATCTAGATTCAAATTTCTACTATACTTTGTATTTATTTGCTAAATGCTATCTCATATATTTAAAGATTTAAGAGGAACTTGGTTTATCTGAAGCCCTCAGAGCTCACTCACCATCTCCATAAGAAGCTCTGATTCTACTTCTGCTCATTAATACAAATACTGCATTTTAAAAAGCAGTTTATCTGCAGAATCCTCAAACTAACTGGCTGTTTGCAGCCTTGAAAGCAGTTCCCACCTCTACAGAACTTTCCAGCTTATACCATGACATCAACAGGCTCACACTGTACAGGACCCATTCTAAAGACAGCTCCCTAAGGTACCTTGTTTTTACTATTTTGGCTTGAAAAAAGAACTGAAAGAACACTTACAAAATTAATATAAGTTTGCTTTCTTATATACCCCAGGACACGTGACACAGTGGGCTGTACCCTCTCACATCAATCACCAATCCATAAACCACCCCATAGACTTGTCAATGGGCAATCTGATGGTGGTACTTTCTCAATTGAGGTTTTCACTCCTCAAATTACACTAGTTTGGGTCAAGTTAACAAAAAAAAAAAAAAAAAAAAAAAAAAACTAAACAGCATAATACAACACCAGCCAATATCAAGTACTGCAGACAAATCATCAGTGAATATATATATAAAAACAAACACGTAGGAGTCCACAGGATGGTAGTCAATTCCCTTTATTAAATACCTAAAAAAAATATATCTAAAATACAAGATTTCTTTTTAACTTCTAGGGCTCCAACCTTTATATAAGAAAACCAGTATATTTTGTAGTAAATGGGTAATTGTGGGAAAGGCAGCACAAGTGAGATTTGTACAAAGGCATTACTGATAAACCCAGTAAAAACATACATCCACCATTTGCATGGAGGCATCTTAGTTTAAAAGACTGAGCTCATATGGAACCCCAGACGAGCACCAGAGTACTGTTATGAGTGGGGAGGGATGGGATGCCTCACTGCTCACCAACATTTAAAGAACTGACAGGGAAAATATCAGAATCATTACTTGCCTACATATACTTTTAAGGACCACCAAAAACAAAAAAAACAAAACAAAACAAAACAACAACAACAAAAAAAACCACTAAAATAAAGAGGAAAGCAACCATCCCCACTTCTTGGTAGTTCATTTACCACAACAATCTTGCTCAAGTAAAACGACAACTTTCAAGCTAGTCTGTTAACCTCCAGCTATTTTAAGGCAGGCCAAGGTTAATTAGTGCCTGTCACACAGCTTGCTCCCAATTTTTTGGCAGTTCTCCAACACATGCCAACCATTTCTATCTAGCCTTGCTGGAATCACATCCTATTTTCCTCTAAAGACACATCAAGTAACATAATGTTACATTTCACAACAAACCTGCTATTTATTCCCATCAAACCTTGCTAGGAAAAAAAATTCAGATCCCTGGTATTGTGTGGATACAGCCTAGTCCAAAAGATATAGCTCATACTGGTCCCCCCAAAAAATATCAGAATATTGCACAATCTTAGAAGAAACATCCTGTTTTATTGCCCAAAGAAAAGCTAAACTCACATCAACTATAAGGGAGGCTCAAACAGGGAAAAGAAAGATCAAATCCTAAAGGACACTAGGCTGGTGGTCACTGCCTGCGCTTTTAAAGCACACTATATTAACTGGGTGTATTTAAAGAATAATTCTAGCTTTTAATGTGATCCATTATTACCATGAAAAAAAGATTGAACAAAGCAACAGATCTTGTAAAAGTCAAGTGCTGCACTCTGTTAATATTTTGGAAAAAATTAAATACTCCTCAAAAATAAGTTAAAATGGCTAGCCACATGCTGTTACATTCCATTCTATCAAAAAATGTATCTAATAAACACATCTGAGACTTTTGCTGTGCACAGCTGCTCAACATTCCAGCACCAGGCCAGCTACTGATACATACTTTACATGAAATGTCTAGTTGTTTTAAAACTAGAAAATAAATATCCAGGAGAAATTCTGAAGTATGACCCATGCAAGTTGCAATGTCATGAGAATAAATTTCCTTTTATAAGAGGGCAACCCAGCAACAATATATGGTATGATT